AAAAACACAAAGCAGAAGCATTTAAATGTGGTATTAATATTGAGGAAGCAGATGGAAAAATGTCAAACTCCACAGACCCCCTCGACTGGTTGGCGTTTCCCCCGGAGAAACTCCACATAGACGTGGTTATCGGTCATGATTGGAAGCTTGGGTGGCAGGTAGAGGAGATCAGAAGAAGCCACCTCTGTAAATGGGTACAGATGGTCCACACATATCCTGAAGAACTTGCCATGCACAAAATCTGCGACAAACCTCTCTCCAGAGGTGAAGAGAAGCATGTATCGGAAGTTTCCTTGAGTGAAAAGGCCGACCTTGTTGTTACCATGGGACCCAAATTACAGGAAGCTATTGCTAAGTCCCTCCGACCTTGCGAAGAAGAAAAAACTGTGTTGTCAATAACATCAGGTGTCTTTTCTGAATTTAAGTGTGTGAAAACCACTGTTGCTGATTTGGAGAAGTTTTACATTTTAGTTTTTGGCCGTTGTGATCCAAAGGATTTGTCCATGAAGGGCTATGATATTGCGGCAAAGGCCGTAGCTATTTTGCGTCATAGATCATATCACCTTACCATCATTGGTGCAAACACTGACAATCAAAAAGAGCTTGTTGATATTTTAGTCAGTTTTGGTATACCACATTGTCAGTTAATTGTAAGAAAGTTTTGTAAAGATCGGGAATTTTTAATCAAATCGTTGCTGGAGTTTGATCTCGTTCTCATGCCATCAAGAACAGAAGGGTTTGGTTTAACTGCCCTTGAGGCATTATCTGCCGGTATTCCCATTCTTGTGAGAGGAAACTCGGGATTTGCTGAAGCATTGAAGAAAGTGGAATTTGGTGAATTTTATATTGTAGAAGACTTTAACGATGCTAATGAATGGGCACAAAAAATCGAGTCCATTCGACAGAAGGAACGGCGATTGAGACTTAAAGAGATTCGACAACTACGGACATTCTATGAAGAGAAGTACAGCTGGGAGAGTCAGTGTCAAGACCTTGTGGCGACAATGTCAAACATGGTTTATGGTATGATCTAGTTTGTTTTTTGTCTGTTTGTTCGGCAGGAAGGATACATGCAACACAGAACGAATCAGATTGTTCAGTCTGATTCTTTCATACTGTTGTTTTTGTGACACAAGGGAGTAACAATAGTGATTTAGATTTGTTTTACTTACTTACTTCAAGCGCCCCCTACCTGAAGTGAAAAAGAAAATTTCCATTCCAACCATGGTTACATGAAATTTTCCATCACTTTATACATTAACCAGCTCACGTTGTCTTCTACCGTCGTAATTCCTTTTAAGTCCTCAACCGCACTTGCTACTCCCACTCCATTGTTTTCTCCCACTGGACTAGAATAAACTCAATGATATTAATTCGTTCTCCTTGTTGTCTAGCTGAACCCTTGCGTCCAAAACTGGTAGAAGTGAAGACGAACACCAGATGGAATGCACTCATTGTGGTGGCCGTAGTAGGAGGCCTTCTGGCCGCATTCATTTCTCTCCTACTCCAGAGAGGGTGGATTGGTTCCTGAAGTGTCCTGCTGTATCGGATTAATGTAACGTTTTCAGTTTTAAACAAGGTTTATATTGGACTTAGAACGTCATTGATATTTTTGGTAATGAAGATGTAATAGGCCAATTTCTAAGTGCCGAAATGAATGGAAGAGTTCGATTAACACTTCTTATGGGAATTAGTTGCATAGATTTTGGTAATTATTTTTCCCAAAAAGAACTAATAAGCTGGAGAAAGATAAGCCGTAGACAGTTACATAACTAGTTGAACTCCCAGAAACAGCAAACATGAGGTCTGCAACATGTCTTACGGTAGCGTTAAACGCATTTTAAATGCTGCTTCTGGAAATTTTCATAGTTCGTACGTTATCGGAAATTACGTAGGATGCCTGTCTTACTACACCTAATCGTTACCAGGGCGTGAAATTAATTTTTTTTTTCTGGTAGCCACTTGGCTCCTAAATTCTTCAAAGTGGTAGCCAATTCAAAAAAAGTTGGTCGCTATTTTCAAAGACAAACAAAACTTGTTTTTTACGCTGTCACCGTTCTAGAAATTAAGTTAGGGAAAAGATCTTTAACTAGCTACAAAGTGGACACTAGGATGGATGATATGCAACGTTCAAACTCACCTAAATCCAAGATGGCGTCTAGTTATCGATCGAGATGCATGTGCTGCGTTTTGGAAACAAACTTGATGAGGAAGTTTGCCGCGGATTTATCTTTGCAAATCTTTTTAATTCACTTTATATCTAGGTAAGGTTATGATGAAACATTCTAGTCGCCACTTTGGCAACCAATTTTCAGGATTTGGTCGCCAAAGTGAAAAATTGTATTAGGCGCAATTTCACGCCCTGGTTACCCTATTTGTTTAAGTTAACATTAGTTTTGGTCCATTTATTCAATATCCTGAAAAAAAATTCTGCTATAGTAGGCAACATAGTGACAACATAACCGTTTTAGGAATAAAATCTCTCTTACACGGACAGAAACAACGAATTTTTCATCCGAATATTTCAATTGGAAATAATATTTACGGCAACATGTTTCTAAAGTTAAGGTTTTCTAAGCATAAAAATTTTGCAGGTTTTAAATTTTGTATATTATGTAAACTGCACTTGACCCACCAGAATTAGCTCCTTTAGAACCCCTTATTCTTTAGGTTGGAAGTCAAGAGGAGAGAATGATGATGAATCTAGTTGGAAATAGTTAAACCTTGTTATCCGTGAGAATTTTTACAGAACATTTCACACTTGTTTATTATCAAGGCAGAAGATCTTTCATGGTACATTCACAAAAACAATTCTGCGCATTTTTCTATGACATTTGATTTGTTTCCTGTGAAACGAAGTTGAAGAGATGTTGATGATCGTGTTTTGTGCAATATGGTAAAAGTAGAAAGTCAGAAGATAGAGTAATAATTTTATTATGGTTGAAAAAGAAAAAAGAGACATACATTCATAAATGACGGTACAACATGTAGCGATACAGTAATTGGAAGTACTAATACTATTCTATAAAGTACTAATACTATATCTTCCCTTTTAGAGCACAAGAACGTAAAAACCGCAAAAGATTCACAGCATTTACATCAGTCTTGGTTAGGCTCAAAAATACTTGATGGTTTACGTCAATGCAACAAACTCTTTAATTTGAAACACTAAAAGTAGGAAAAAAACTTAGAGAAGAGAAATTAGGTGTACATTCACTTTTCTAGAGTTATGACAGCAGAGACGACACAAATTAAAATAGCAAAAATACTGAAGAATTTTGTTAAATGTTTACCCAACTATTTTCTTCTGTTCCTCTCTATTCTCCCAATAGGGTTCTTGAATTTCGCGATCCCGACTAAAATTATCTCTGAATCCCGTAATCCCGACGGTTTATACCGGCCAATCCCGATCCCGATCTTACACTTACGTCTTAGTCCATTTCCTAAACTTTCAAAGCCGTAGCCAGACTTTAGAACAACACAGGCAAGTTTCGAGCGCCAAAGGCGTGAGCCGCTAGAGGGTTCTGGGGGCATGCCCCCCCCCTCCCCCCCAGAAAATTTTGAAATCTAGAGGCTCAGAAATGCTCTTTTAACCAATCCAGTTTTTTCTAGGGGATTATTTTCTCAATTAAACGTTTCTTCAAAAAACAAAAGGCCAAAAATTCTATGGTCATCGTAAGGCGTAAGTTTATCTCTTTTCACTAAAATAATGGTATTGTTTATTTTACAAGTTTTCAAAGTTTTGCACGAATAACGTACGCTGGTCACGGTAACGACTTCCTTCCGTCAAAACTTCGGTCACGGACAAACATGACAAACGTATTAGTACAGACAGGTAGGTATCAAAGAAAAAATTACGATGTAAACAAGTGCATAGAAGACAAAAGGTGACGGCAATCCCATAGTTCCATAACAAGGAAGATAAAAAAAAATTAACTGAAAACAATGCTGCTATTGAAGCGAATACTTCTCACGAAGCGGGAACCTCTTCCGAGGTGAAACAGCCTCTCGTTCCAAAGATGAAATGCTACCATCGTCGCCAGGGAAATCTTTCTCTAATATTCTATTTTCCTCTTCGACTTGTTTCCTGTTGTTTT